AGTAAGAGTAGGAACTGAGGACGAAAAGAGAATGATCATGAGTAATAAATGGAGATTAAAGGGGAAAGAGATATGGTTGAAGAAGGACCTAACATGGAAGAAAAGAAAAATGAGATGGCAGTTAGATAGCAGCGAAAAAGAAAGAGAAAGAAAGAAACATTATCCTGAGACAAAGTAAAATATGAATTGAAGGAATATGCTGGAGCTGGGACGAGGATAGGAAGAAATTGAGAGATGGAAGGGAGAGAAGATGGAATAAAATAAAACATATAAACAGAAGAAAAGAAAAAATAGTGACAGATAAAAAGAGTACGGAATATAATCAGGGAGAAGGGCGTCCCCTCATTATGTGATGGGCATTAAGGGATGGGCATTTAAAGGGGGAGTCAAATCTGAAATTAGTTTTCTGGAATGTGGCAAGACTAGGGAATAAGGATTTTTGGAGAAGAGTAAAAGAGTGAGTGTGTGGCGATCGTGGCGCGAGGAGCAGCACGGCAGCTTTATAAGCTAAAGATCCGAGTTCAAATCCACCCAGAATAATATAACTCTGAAATTTATTTTAATCCGGAAGCGATCGCCGCCTCTCGGGTGGCAATGGCAAACCACTGAGAGTATCTTTGCCAAAGAGAACCTCTTCTTAAAAAATGGCCGTTCGGAACCGGTTAAAATGTAGGTTCCGTATATCTGCGTAAAAGTGTAAATAGCGCACATCGCAGAAATACGAGAAAAGGTCACTACGCTCTGTCAAGAGTAGTAGGACTATTGATTAAAAAGAGTGAGATGTAGTAATAATGATCGAATCATAAATAGAAGAGAAAAGATGGAAAAAAGTAAGGGATGAATTACTGGGGGAATATGTATAGAAAGCAAAGACGGTGAAAAGGAAAAACAGGAAGGAAAGGGCATTAGGAGGTATGCTACTAGGAATAAAGAGAGATAATAATGAAAGAAGACGTTAGCAGACAGGAAGTGAAAAGAATTATGACGGGGAGAATAAAGTATGACAAGAATATATTAAGGGTAGTAGGGGTTTACGTGCACTGTGATATGGAAGGAAAATTAGAAGAGTTGAAAAAATGGATGGAGGAAGAGGAGTAGGATTCTAATACGATAATAAAAGGGGACTTTAACGCAAAGACGGAAAGAGAATAAGGTAAAATGAGCGTAGATGCGGAGAAAGTAGAGAAAGTAGGAAGAGAATCTAAGGACAGAAAGTGGAACAGAAAAGGTAAAATTCTGATAGATCACATAAAAGAGAGAGGATGGTTTATTCTAAATGGGGGTATAGAAGAGGATGAAAGAGGAAAATGGATACAGGAGGAAGAGGGAAGTCTGTGATAGATTATGTGCTGGTGAAAAGTGAAGTGGAAGAGGAGATAGAAAGAATAGAGGTAGAAGAATGCACAGATTCAGACCACCATCCTTAGTATGGATGAAAAAACAAGGAGAGTAAAAAGGAAGAGAGGAAAAAGTGAAAGAAGTGCATGTAGGGGGATGTGGGATCAAGAAGGAATAGAGAAATTTAGGAGAGAGTTAGGTAGGGTAGAGTTAACGGAGAAGTCGGTGCAAGAAGACATCGGAAAAAAAGAAGAAAAAAAGCACTTTGTTAAAAAGAATTGAGCAAGAAAGGGTAGAGGAAGATGAGAAGGGGGTTGTGGGATAGGGAATGTGAAGAGAAGAAAAGAACAGTTAGAAAAACGCTGTGAGAGTGAAGGAAGAAAATAGAAGAGAAACAAAGTTTCAAGAAGGAAAAACAGGAATACAAAGAATTATGTGGGACAAAACGGAGACAAGAAAATGAGAAATGGGAAAGGAAAACAGAAAAAGCAAATACAGAAGGACAGGTATGAGAAATTGTAAACAGTCGAAGAAAGAGAAGAAAATGGATAAAAAGGAGTATTGAAATGGAGGAAATCTCCAGGGAATCAATGGAGGAATGGGTGGAATACTTCAAAGATCTTTTAGGAGAGACAGATAACAAGGTAGTAAGAAGAGGAAGAGGCAAGAGAACGGTGAATAAAAGGGAACTAGAGATAGAAGAGATAAGGAAAGCGTTAAGAAGATTAAAGGGTGGAAAGGCAATGGAACAGGACGGAGTGCCGAATAAGGCATGAAAATATGGAGGAAAGAAGGTAGAGGAATGGGTATAGGGCATATGTCAAAGAGTATGAAGAGGGAAAGGACGGCCAGAACTATGGAAAAAGAGGGTGATAATTCCGATTGTGTGAAAAAAACAGCAAGACAGTACAGGAGCATAACAGTGATGTCATCACTATATAGAGTGTATACTACGGTAAGACTGAAAGGCTGAGGGAAGACATAGAAGAAAAAAAGCTAATTCCTCCGAACTAAACAGGTTTTAGAAAGGGAATGGGAACAATGGATAATATTTATACATTGAACTACATAATAAACAGACAAATAGAAAAAAGGAGGAAAGCTGGTGGCAGCATAGATTTAAGAACGGCGTTTGACTCGGTGGATAAGGAGATATTAAAACAATCGATGAAAGAAAGAGAGATAAGGATAAAATTAATAGAGAGAGTAGAGGAGCTAATGCAAGAAAAGAGGAGTATAGTAAAAGTGGGTGAGAAAACTGGAAAGGAAATCTGAACTGCAAGAGACTTGAGACAGGAGTGTCCAGCGAACCTTACTCTATTTAATCTACTCATAGCAGATCTGGAAGAGTAGATAGGGACAGTCAAACGGAGAGGTGTGAATCTGGGAGGGAGACACGTATACTCTGACGTATACAGACGACATGGTGCTATTAGCAGAGAAAGAGGAGGAAATGAGAAGTGTATTGAAAAGAATGGAAAAATACCTCGAAGAAAGGGCTAGTATTGAATGCAGACAAGATCAAAATAATGAGATTCAGAAGGGGAGAGGGAAGGTAACGCTAGCTGGAGATGGAAGGGTAAAAGAATAGAGGAAGTGAAGAAATTCAAGTATCTCGGTTATATTGTGCAGAGGAATGGAGGACAGGAGGCGCAGGTGAGGGACAGAGTGGCGAGAGCAGCGACGGTGATGGGCCAGGTATAGAGAATCGGGAAGAAAAGATTCGGAAAGGACTGAAAGAGAAGAATATGGCTCTTTGATAGATTGGTGTGGACAGCAGGTTATGGAGTGGAAGTGTGGGAGTGGAAAGAAAAAGAGTGTACAGAGAAATTATAAGAACGGTATCTGAGATGGGTATTGGAAATGGAGGAAAAGACTCCGGGGTATAGGTATGGTGAGGAAGGAAATTGAAAGAGAGAATATGTCCCAGATAACCAAGCGGGATTCGTCATATCGAGCAAACTAATGCATTGCATGAATTGTTGCATATTTGCCATACATTTGTTGACACCGAAAAACAATACATTACGAATACACAACATAACT